ATTTTCCTTGGTTAAACTGAGATTCTGGGAGTAATTTTAGAAGAAAGGCAAACAGATCTCAACTTAACTATTAAAATCATTGAGAGGCTGGCCGATTAGCTCAGTTGGTTAGAGTGCAATGATAACACCAAAGTCAAGGGTTCAGATCCCCTTACAGGCCAGCTGCCAAAAAATAAAATAAGCTAATTGAGAGCTACCCAAGTAATTCTGGAATAAAAGGAGTAACAGAATGACTCAAACACTGTAAAATTAAAGTTGAAAACTTTAATATGTAATTAAGGAATTTTTATTCACAACTTTAAGGCAAGAATAAAATACCCGGCCATTCTTATCATATGATTTCAGACAAGATAGTTTAGCCCTATTCCAGAAGTACCAACTGAATTACGACACAAATATCTAGTAGTATTTCATTTTGAACACAGTCAGATGAGCAATTAGGAATTCCACCCATCTTAAATGAACCCAGTGTTCTCTGATTTTCCAATTAATTTCATCAAGGTGAGCAATTGTCCAACTAATCATTTGTTTTGAATAAATGACTTCCATGATTTGCACAACCTAAAAAAAAAACTTTTCAAGTCAAAGCCCAATTCTGTGGTTTCATAAACTCCCTCACTGTCACTTAGACCACTGCCTTTCAAAGCCAATATTTAAAATTCTCTTCTCCAAAGTCAACATTAAGGCATGCTGTTTGGCTAACAAACTCCTCCCCAGATCATGATTATTATGTATGGCCTATTATGTTCCTAACAGGCAAACAAAAGTACTACCTCAGGTAACATTTTCTATTTTTAGGCAGTAGGTAACTAACAAAGTTCTTTTTGAAATTTAAATGGTGCAAAAGCATACATTTACTACTAATAGACTACTTGAAATAGTAATTTGAACTTATTAATTATATTTTTCATCTCATAAATAATCTATTGCTTCTGGAAAAGTCAATTGAGGGGCAGGGGGAGCCGCTGGCTAGTACGGAGATCCGAACCCTTGACCTTGGTGTTAAAACACTGTGCTCTAACCAACTCCAACTGAGCTAACCCACCAGCCCCAGAAAAAGTCAAATTTAACTTCCAAGAAGTATGAAGTTGTTTAATTTTCAGAGCAAACAAATGGCATGTTTTAAACTAAAAGCAACTAGTTTCACAGCAGTTGTAATACAATACTCTATGGTTAACCAGTCTCATCCTTTAGGTGCTTTTCATCATAAATGACCACTTTGGGGGGGTGGGGGATGACCAACTTAATCTGCTTCTCACTGCTTTCTTCTGCTAAACCAAATCCCATAAAATATTTTCAAACGTATTTTGAGTCAAGGCTTCTACTTTTAAGGCATGCACTTTTTTTTTAACTATGACAAACTTTATCAAAACTAAGCAATTCCACTACAATTAAAAATCACAAACACGGGCTGGCTAGTGGCTCGCTCAGGAGAGTGCGATGCTGATAACACCAAGGCCACGGGTTCGGATCCCATATAGGGATGGCCGGTTTGCTCACTGGGTGAGCGTGGTGCTGACAACACCAAGTCGAGGGTTAAGATCCCCTTACCGGTCATCTTTAAAAAAAAATAAATAAATAAATAATAATAATAATAAAAAATAAAAATCACAAACACCACATACCTAAAAGATAAGCTTCTAGAACACAAACAATAACAGGTTTATTTTCCCAAGTATCTACTGTTCAACTGGGTCAAATGTTTCAGTTGCATTTTAAATAGCTTAGCCCTCAAAGTGATAAGGATAAAAACAAACCAAAAGAATCTTAATGTTCTTCAATGGTATATCATCATCACAACCCAACAAAGACTTAGGAACTGCTAGCTGAAGTCTGTTAATAGTACAGCTACTTTAGGAAAATTATGTTCACAGAGCTGAAGTCTTTATTGGAATCCGGGGACTCAATCCAAAGAAACAGTTTACGGGGCCGGCCCGTGGCTCACTCGGGAGAGTGCGGTGCTGATAGCACCAAGGCCCCGGGTTCGGATCCCATATAGGGATGGCCGGTTCGCTCACTGGCTGAGCGTGGTGCTGACAACACCAAGTCAAGGGTTAAGATCCCCTTACCGGTCAACTTTAAAAAAAAAAAAAACAAACAAAGAAATAGTTTACTATATAAAATACATTTATCAAACTAAAAATATTAATTTGCATTCTACACTTTTTCAGATTGTTTTTATATAACCTGTCGATTTATTTATTTTTTTAAATTGAAGCATAATTGATCATATATATATTTGGGGTACAACGTTGACTACCATCACCTGTGTACATGTGTTGATCAAATCAATATTAGCATGTTCGTCAATACAAATCATAATTATTCTTTATGCTCTTTACCCAGCCTCTCCCCAATCCCCCCACCCAAATCTGTCAATTTCTATATGGGGAACATGGCTTATATTGTCAACAGCCATTTAAAACTTAGAATTAATAGGAGCATAGAATACATTTATAAAGCCAACATTTTTTTTTTTTTTTTAAAGATTACCGGTAGGGGCCGGCCCGGTGGCGCACTGGATAGAAGCGCGGCGGCGCTCCCGCCTGAGGGTTCGGATCCCACATACAGACCGGTTCCCGCTCACTGGCTGAGCGAGGCGCTGACAACACCAAGTCAAGGGTTAAGATCCCCTTTCCCGTCTTAAAAAAAAAAAAAAAAAAAAAA